TCATGGCGTCCAAGTAAAGACATGAAGAATTCATGGCCATGAAAAAGTAATTCCACAGCTTCTAGTAAAGATCATAAATTCATGGCCATGAATTTTTCAACAAAGGCCATGATATCTATATATATATCATCATAGAAATTTTTAATATAGTGTTCACCATGCATGTTCATGGCCATGAATATTTACAGAATTAATTAGGGTATATCATGGTATATATATATGTTGGAACGATTTATCATATCACAACACGAGTGTACATTTGGCACATCACGATAAATGTACTTCGTAAATACGAGAAAATATATGCTGAAAACTGCTGAACTGTTCAGGATAATGCTGAAAAATGCTGAACTGTTCTGTTAAATTTTTAAGCCGTTATTGTTTTCGATAATAAAAGAAATGAGAATTTAATGCTCATGAAACTAATTTTTATGATCATTAAATTAATTTTCTTTATTTTTAATGATCATTTATTAACTGAAACAAGTGTAGTTAGAAGAAAGTTGATGGTCAATAACTATAACATCAGTTTCCATGATCAAACCTTCGAATCTAATATACTAAGTTAATAAAGTCCGAGAGATCCGAGTAAATACTATGTGGATGACTCCCGAGTGTTACCGAAAAGATAAACAAATATGGCTGCCGTAGAAGACGAACCGCTATGTCCAAGACAAACTTTCGACTCTAATGGGCTATAAAAGATTAGACAGTATGATAAAATGGAATACACATGACAGGTATGATGTTATATCAACACGCTGAACAATCGTTTTGAGTATAAACATGTGTTTCCCGTAAAAATACAGATTACATCTAGCGGTGGACTTGTCGTCTGCTGATACACATTGATTGGTTCAATATGCAGTCTTCACCTCGCATTTAAACACTTATATCGTTAATTTACAGACTAACAACATAATACTACGACCTTATTTGGATGGAATACTTGTATCATGTTACAATTTGATGAAATACAACAATATGAGATAATTTACACCCGAATTCCCGTATAAGAGTACAGATGGTCGGTGTTCATATCGGACTATGTAAGCTACACACTTCAACATCTCACATTATGATTTAAAACAACATCTCACATTATGATTTAAAACAGCATACGTATGGGATGACACAATCTCATAAAATATAACAATCTCAAAGTATTCAATGTGAAATTCGTGTATAATAATGGAACAATAATACTAATTACTATCACTTTCTAAAGTTCCACAGCTACATGTACAAGACATGATCACACAAATATAGATATACTTCATTCACTCACCATATGTAACTAGTGATCATAGGTTTGTGTAATTCTTGCCTTCTTAAGTTTTATGTACTTTAAATCATGATCTAGATCTGCATCAATAATGGAGACATTCAGATTGTAATAAACAGCATCATGACAACACACACAAATATTTGTATCTAATTTTGATGATTGACAAGTTTGCATTTTTGGATTCTCGGGTGAAGGTCAGACAGTGTCATCCTTTTTAAATTACTAAAATAGAAAGATTTTGTGACAGAAAGCAGGAGGGCATTCATGTCGTTCTAACTTCTAAATTTATTTTTATTATTTGAAGACGATATATATATAAAAAAAAATCACTTAGAAAACGGCTTAAATGGACTAAAGTTACCCATCACTACAGTCAGTAATTGCCCTAAATTTATCTAACAATAATTTGAGAAACAAGACATTTTTTTTTTTTTTGTTCCTAGTGTTGAAGTGTATGTTGTATTGTTTAGCAAACAGTGATTAAGAAGCATTGTTGAAATGTCCCGGAACTTGCTTAATGTTGTTTGGCTAGAAATCACAGTAAGGTTTGCTTATGCATATAGCAGTTGGCTTTGCTGAAACATTTCTGAATTGTTCCTGAAATCTTACGGCAATATCTGATGATGAAACCCAATGATTATTGACTTTCGATTCAATTTTCATTCACACACAAAATAGCATAAAATGATAAAATGTAATTTTGTTTGCTGGTTTATATTTTAGTGGTTAAACACAACTTTATAAAGACGAGATCGACACACGAAGGAACATCTGATCTTACCTGTGTAAATGGAGGTGGTTCATGTTCTCGTTCCTCTCCTTGTTTTTGTTCAAATCCGGAAAGTACTCTGATAATATTTTAACTGTTTAAACATGCAGCCTAGCTTTATATATGCCTGTATTATTTATGAGTTTCATTTTTCGTGGTGGAGCATAATTTTTCATGGCCATGAAATTATATGTAGTTTTAATCCGTGTATTTTTCATGGTAGGATTTTTTTTATTTTCATGGCCATGAAAATTGCAAAAAAAGACCTTTTTCATGGCAAAAAAATCATGGGCCATGAATTCGGTCATGTTTCAGGGGGGGTTTCATGGCCATGATTTTTTTCATGGCCATGATAATTTCTATCCTAGAATTTTCATGCTGAATTCATGGCCATGAATTTTGATGTTTCATGGGCCATGAATTTTTATGTTTCATGGGCCATGAATTTCCTTGACACACACATTCATGGCCTTTTTTCATGGCTTTGAATTTCTGTTTTTTCATGGCTGAAAAAATATATTCATGGTAATTTAATGGGGTTTAACAAAAATAAGGGCCCTTAAAAAGGTCGTGTTTCATGGGCTTTTTCGTGGCTTTTTCATGGCAATCATCTCATGGTAATTTCATGGCTTTTTCATGGCCATATGTACAGTAGTGATTCTCACAAGATTGTTTAGTAACTTTATATTGGTTTGTTTATGAGGAACTATGTCTTTTCCTATACATCAGTATTTGTGTGAGATAACCATCAATATTATAAGATTCGAGTCGGTTTTTTGAAGTATTAATGCTGAGTACTGTGAAATCAGGTACTTTTGTGGGGCAAACTTTCGTGGTTTCCCAACAAAACACCATTTCGTGGGTACATGATCGAGAATTACGCGTACTTACCCAAACGTATAAATGTTTTATATCAAACTTGTAATTACTTCATGAGTTTTTGGACGACGATAACCCATAAAATCATCGAATAAAAATAAAACCCATGAAAAAAAGTGATTGTACAGTAAATAATTACAGATATTTCAATATAAACAGTGAATTTGATTCCATGAACTGTGATATACCTAACGTGGGTTGTATTTTATACAATAACAGTACCACCGTAAACTTATATATACTGTTGTAAATGAACTGTTTTGATCTCGTCTGAATTATTATGATGCTATTGTTACTGATTCATATACGTAATCGCGTCATGGGGCGTTTTCGTACGTATGGAAAATTCCCTGCCCCAGTAATAACTTTTCCAATTTTTTGTTTCTTTTCTGTCATAAAACTTCAGCCTCAAGCTCTAGTCTACATTTTATATTCAAGCAATAATGCACTGAACTTATAACGAAAAGTTTCTCATTCATGTAGATCAATTAATTTTATAAAGTGGTACATTGTATGTTATGCGCGTATCACACATAATACGGACATTTCGTGCATGGAGTGGCACATTAACAAGTTGTTGAGGAAGCCACTATAGCTATTTGTATTAAATACAAATTTTGTGAACTGGAGAGCTGAGTTGAGATAATTGACATTTTCTTCCCTTTAAAGCTTTGCATATTCAACATCATTTAACTAACTTCATAAACTATCGAATAATCGCCAATTTGACAAAAATAGTGTGCATGAATAAATTTCATTATATATATACAGGTATATTTATGTTGTCAGGCGATAGACACATTTTGTAAAAGACTAAATACTCACTGTCTGTCCATATTTGACTTTTTTGTTTTTATTCAACTAGATTATTCAGCTTTATCAATTATCAATTAATTATCCTTTATTTATTGCAGTGGCTGTCAACACAAGTTTACTTGTGTAAATGTAAATATAGTTTTATAAATCTAAATATAATTAAGTGATTTGTAAATATTTTTAATGAGTTTATGTATAAATGTATAAAGCCTAATGTTACATTTAAAGTATCATGGTTTGATCAATCAATTTGTTTGTAATGAAACTTTTGCTTTCATTTGAAGATCGTACTCGGGGCACAAATCTATTTTTATTAACAGAAGAAATCCGTGCTGTTATTTTTGTATTGATTTTGTTGCGAATGCAAGGGAACCTATAGTGTGGACATTTTGCATATGAAATGTGACTAGTATTTATCAATAACAGTATTGTGTGTTGTTTAATGAATAATTGACCACCAGAGTATTATTTGTATACGCCTGTTATTTTTATAGAGGTTCACCAACGAGCTATGGTTGTTATCGAATTGACTCTCTGACGTTGATTAATTTCCATTTTTTTTAAATGAACATTAGTGAGTGAATTTAATAATAACCAACGTTAATAAGTCAAAACAATTGTTTGTCCCATATTTTTCTTTTTTAATTATAACATGTTTGTTTGGATTGTATAAGTGATCTGTCAGTCGTACTCTTTCGACTGTTCAGAGCTGTAATGCAATTTCATTAATCTGATAAATATAGAAAATTACAATTTCTGTACCATACAATATTTTATTTCACAATCAATCCATTTTTATCAGTAACAATTACGACAATAAAATAAATAAGAATGTTTTAAAGCGTCCTTCCTTACGAGAAACTACTTAATTGCCCTTAGTTACATGAGCGTAGTTCACTCACTGACACAAAACTTAAAAAGACCGGAGAAGTGACCGAGAAGAGACTCCATTGCTGTCGACTGCAATGTGATATCTCCCGCTCAACTAACGTAACGCTTTAAGTGTTTCCCAGGATTTGGTCCGTTACTACTATACAGGCTTAGAGAAAGTTACCCACCGCTATGTGTAAACATTCGTGTTAGCACCCTGCTACTGTATTTAATGTATTGTATTCCGTCTTTGCGTATTGCAGAGTTATCTTCTCTTGGGAGCAGGTATTGAATGTTACGTCATTGGTTTGTGCGAGAAATTACGTCGTTTTCTCAAAAATTGATGACGTAACGCTCACAAACAAGTGACGTAACAATCAATACCTGCTCCCAAGATAAGATCACTCTGCAATACGCAAAGACGGAATAGCAGTTAAGTAACACGTTATTAGTGGATAAAAATATATTATTTGCTTTCTCAAGTTTTTACTCCAGACACATGACAGATGAAGTCGCTTATAATTCGTAAGTGCAACGAAAGAGAAATTTTCTAAATGAAACAAAATCGTCATGGTTGAATTAAATGTGTTACTGATATTCCTACTCAGGTCGGGGGCTAGGGCAAAGTCGTCCTTAGGTAACTGTGTGGGTGCTTCTTATATCTTTTCTGTTACGATAATCATCTTAACCATGTTAAACTTTGTTCAAGCTGCTACATGATGAAGTATGGAAATCAGACAATAAAATTCCTTCTAAATAATTGTCTGTATGACTTGTTTTATTGCTCTTGTTTAACTTTTTAATGTGCTATATCAGGATACATTCAGATTTCCTAACAACGATTTGACTGCTGTAGTTTTCTGACATATCTAGTTATTAAATACAGAAAATATACGGGGTTTGTTCACATCTCAAAAACTGGGACGTGTAGTTTATCATTATGTTTGTTTAAAAAATGCATTTCAATTCACACATATACAACACATACGCAGATTTAAAGGTTGTGAACATGTACCAATTTCGTGCAAGTGTTGACATTCACAGCCCAAGAGATATTTAACACTTCAAAATACTTCTAACATTTGAGTTCGTTTTTTGAAACTTCTACATTGTCAGTCGTTATATATTAAGTCTGTATTTACAAGGTCTTTGTTCCTTAACATATCCTGCTTATCTGTTACAGTTTTGTTACCAAAAGGTGGATGTTGTTTTCGCTAATTATGTATTCACTTAATGAACGAAAATATGCTTGCACGAACATTAATACACAGTAGAAAATGCATAAATGTATAGCGTTATAATTTAAGCGAACATTTTCACACTGCAATCTGTGGAAGTCAAACTGCGAAAATGTCTATACTGAACTACAAAATACTTGGTATGACATATCCATGTTTAATACAATGTTGATGGTGTAACACTAGCTGGCAAGACGAATTGGCACTGAATTATACAACAAACAGCCTCTGGTACACACAGATATCGTACTTTACGTCAAGAAGGAAACACGGGCGAATGGTTCATCCTCGGGGTCTGAAATGCAGCTCGGGAAAATGGTAATGGCGAGGGTGCACGAGGACGCAGTCTGAATGGGGATGGGATTCGGGAGCTTGGTGGTGGGTGCATCAGAGGTGATGGGCTGTGTCCTGTCATCGGTGTCACGTGGACAGTTGAAATAGGTGAAGATTGCAGCGCTATGGAGATGGATAATGTCGCTCCTAGAAGAATGGTGACTGCTGCTCCACAGGCGACATAAAAGGACCAAGCAAGGTTAACATCAGTCCCGACTGTCCATCGTGGAATCTTTTGATAGTGGATAGATTCATATGAAGCTGCGTATAGACATACAGCAATGGCCACCAACACATCTAGAACAACAATAAAACCATCATTGAAGCAGTTTGAGGCATGTCAGTTATCAAACACTTGTCTTTAAGGATGTGCAAACTCGACTGGTATTACAATAGTTTTCGTGTATTAATTTTATTAATTGATTATTTCTTTGCTGACGATATCACAAAAATTCCCCAGTATTTTAAATACATCTCACATCCTATTTCCCTTAATGGTTTATGTACGTGCATATCTGCCGAACGACAGAATACCATGACCTCTTTATCGCCATTCATTATACCATTTGGTCAATATTCTTTTGAAGACAAATAAGGACAATTTTCAAACTTCTGAGGAACATTATCCATAGCTATACGCTTTATTATATCCATGTGTACTGTTTTGTAGAGAAACTAAATCTTCTGTTTTGTACCTGATAAAACAGCCATGATGCCTGCTTTCTTTGTCCATTTGAATGCACGCTTTTTCTTCTGGAAAATAGCAGCCACACCCCATAGTACAGCAACAAAGTCAAATATGGCGCCAATCACACACAAAGCACTTGTGATGAATATTATAACTGTAAAATAGAGGAGATGGATTGAAAAGAAACATTTGCATATCCAGTACCTTGTGTGCATGCCCTAAACATCTTTCTTCTAAACTATTTAAATTATATTTGAATCAATGTCCGTTAATATACATTGGAAGTGGTTACTGAATGCCGATGATACTGTAACACGTTTGATGAGCTGACGAATCTTATTGTGAATAACGAACAGTTCTGTACTCTTCTATATGACACGATACGATGCTAATGAATAAAAAACGACATATCATTAACAAGGAAGTATGTAGTCCAAACCATTGTTTGAGGTACCTTAAGTACGAGTAAACCTGTAAACAACAACATCAAAGTGATCAAACGTTTTAAAACAGTTGATGTAAAATGTTTGCTGTGCTCCTAAGTCGTAAGACACTTATTGTTATGCAAAATAAAAGGCTTGACAAAGTTTTGTTCCTCTATCAGGACATCGCCATGCAGAGAACAATACCATTTCAAGTGTAGGTGATTACTACCAACACGTATCCTAAATGTACAGTTAGGTCAAGCTGTAATACGGCTACCTTTGTTGTATTGGAACATGCTGATAAAACTATCAGGGCATCATGCTTTATGGTGTTTCAGATTGAATGCACTCGAGGCCATAGAGTATCGTGCGCTTTGTACACGACTCGGTTGTAAAATTTTACACTACAACATTAACGAATCAATCAACAAACACGCATATCATTGTGCATTTCCGCTAAATGCCAATTGTGAATGGCTTTAGTCTAGAGTGTCGGTGAACTTCAGGGTTTACTTTAACATTAAAGCATACGATTTATTACCGAACTGAAGTAACTTTTGTACACGGCCCCGGGCGTGTTTAAGGATGAACGAAACTTGCTCGTGTCATCAGATATAGACAGTAACTACATACGTTGTTAAAAAGGTTTATAACAAACTTCAAGAGAGAATATATCAGTTTACATTAAGGATGTACTCTTCTGAGGTTTCAGTCACGTTCAAGTCTCGTTTTGATCTGGTGTAACGGGTTTTTGTAATATTTAACAAATTATGATAGGTATAATAGCAATCACACATCTGAAAAACATGTAAAAAAACTAGATGTCTGTTGTGTGTAGAACATTTTTTACAAGAATGTTTAAAAAATGACCAATTTGACACTAGATTGATCACTAAATTGTCATTGTGTCACCATTTTAAATTGTAGCAGGTTCAATTTTGCTGTACAACTTTATAATGTTCAATATGATTAAAATGATATGCAAAAAAATGGAAAGTTATATATTATTGATTTTTTTTTACATATTAGGGTAACTGAAGCACTTTTGATTTTTGACCCCGAAAAAGGTGAAATGTAACACAAATAATAATGGGACAAAAAAAGAAGCACACCGACCCTCCATTTTTGTGGCTGTTTTAGAAAGAACACATTTTCTTTTGATTCATTGAATACTAAAAAAAAGTTTAATACAGTTTCTTTTTATATCAAGCGTTTAATCTGCAAAAAATGGTGAAAAATGTGCATTTTTTTTATTAAAAAATAAGGGGTAGGGGTAACTAAAATCGCATATCTGAGTAAAATAAATAAGAATAGGAAATTTTACTTTCATAGTTTCAAAGAAAATAATATTTTTATCAATTCTACAAACATTCATGCATATCTGATAACACACTTGGAAGAAATTGTATGAATTTGTTCTACAAATGGTCAAAACCCATTGTGATTGTGACAAAAAATCATGTTTCCATCGCGCCATTTGGCTGTTTTATGGAAGAAACAATCTCAAAAATGCCATTTTCGATGATAACATTTTAGACACAAAAACTGTGTTTTTTAGAGAATACACCCTTTTATGGGCGTTGGATGCAAACCAATTTTTATCCTATTAAACAGTACGTAATATGCTATTGATGAGAGGAAAAATCATCAAAATGTAAGTGGTGGAACATTTTCAAATGTTGGGTTGAATTAGCCTATGGTTGAATTGCCGATTTTCGACTTTCTTTAGATAATTAACAAAAAAACGAGAGTATTTGCTCGGTATGTTGAGAATATGTACACAGATATGAAAAAAAGTGAGAGAAACACTTTTTCATAAAAAAAAT